GACGGAAATTGTTCATTTGTGCCAGATTAATGTTCACGCAGTCATGCATGTTTCACAGGGGTACTGTGCTAAACCTAAACGCTGGTGGTGCATTCTTGTTGAAAGTAATGTTCTTAGGATGCTTTTTCAGTTAGATCAGTGTCTTTTGCATGAGAGTTTATGGGTTTAATTTCATGATAGCATATCACGATAAAGACTACTTGCAAGTTTACATCAGAATAATCGTAGCTTTGTTTCAGCAGCTATTTCGCTTGACGCCTTTAATTATCTGCGTAGTTGCACCGCATCCCATACATATTTACACACCGCATGTAGCAGCAGTTTACGATTATTGGACAGATTCACTCATCGAAAGGCTAAGGAAACGCCATCGATCGAATCCGAGGTTTACAGCTGTCTTGTGGAACATGCATGACCATTTAAGTGACAGCCTACCACATGCGAAAAGTTCAATTGAATCATGGCAACAACAGACGGTGGATTATCATATTCCGACACTTTACTACTAATTGACCACTTTCATATCGACAGAGTGTATGTCAGTGGATCAGTGTCACATCGACACAGTGGATGATCACTTTCACATCGTCAAGTTGAAGTCTTGGTTGAATGCTGGCTTGCCGGATTTAGATTTGGACAGTTTTGCGCAAGATCAGTGTGTGCAAGGCTCAGACGTCTGCACGTTTTGCTTCCAAGATATGCTCACGTACCGTTGCTGAATTTCTCGCTCGAAATCGCCAATAATGTTGAATTTTGAATGTACTGGCATTATAGAATCCGATTTATGTAAGTTTCTAGATCTATACATACCGTTCAGTTGCATTTGTATAAACTGAAATAGATTCATACACATGGCAGTGTAGTTTTAAAATTGGAAACCTGTTCATGTGCATACAGTTTGCAACGTGCGCTTTTTGACGGAGCGTCGGAAACGATATTCCTTTCATTATTTTAATGTAAATCTATTTAAAAATTCCACTGTGACTATAATTCGTACATGAGGATTGCATGCTACCGCAATCTGTAGTAAAGTTATGAAGTTGTTGTCAGTCCTCTGAGTTTTGAACGTTTCTGGTGAACAGCTGATTGTTGCTTTTATACATCTCGATTTAATAAATGGTTGCTTGTAACTAAGTTGGTCTTCGTTGTTTCGCCGGAGAAAGGCTGTTTGCCATTTAGTTTTCTCAATATCGCAGGTCCTTAATAAGGTCTATCTGTGTTTCATGTACTTTGTTTAGCTAGCACTTTCTGTGGTTTTGTTGCTGGAGGGAATTTGTTTTGCAGTCGCAACGATTTCTCTCGCCCTAAACAGTGTCGAACAAGTGGATGCATTTTAACAAATTATTTCAATCATATGTTGCAGCCTTGCACGTTACGCAGCACTTAGGTTTAGCTGGCGCTTGACTCCATATTGGCCTGATTTGAGCACCCTGGGGTTAGAAAAGACCACTGGAGCAGACCACGTCTACATTGCATTTGAATCCTTGCAGTGGCAGATGCATGTCTTACCATTTTGTTTACTAGGTCAGCCTCATGTATATCGCACACAATGTTTTAATACCGAACGTGTGCTACTGCTATAGTTTCCTACTACTGCAGTATGTTGATTGGTGCATAATTGTCACAAGATCAGACATGTTCGTTTGTTACGCCTGCCTACCATCTGATGGATATCATTTCGTATTTCGCGCTGGCCTGTCAGACGAACTTCCAGAGTGGAAGGGAACAAAGCCCATAGTGGCAGAAGTGCAAGCACAAATTGAAAAATCATTTATTAAGCAAACATTAACACCACATATAATTGCAACAAAACGAAATAACCATATTACATGTCCTTACTGAAGCAAAGATCTATAATATTTCAGAAATTTCCGTGTAATATACAGTGCTGTCCGCAATGCAACAGTGGTCAGTAGCCACATAAAAGATCACAACATTGATCGGTCACTGGTTTTACAGAATCCAACCAGGACGGCGCTGTCGGCACGTAGGGCAAGTTGCGTTGTATCTATAATTTATGCGAAAACATTGTTGGCAGAACCAAGTCGACGGAACCCGAACGAACCGTCCAGCGTATACGATAAATAAATACGGCGCCGGTCTAAAATGCGCCAGTGAGGTATACTCGTTGAAAAGAAAGCAAATTTTCTCACAGTATCGGTATTTCTGAAAAAAAAAGTTGAGCACATGTTCCCACCCGCAGATATGCATAAATGAAGGCCCGTGACGTTGTCATGAGTTGTCAGATAATTTCCTAGCGAGCACCGAGGAATCTGTGGCTCTTACGGAAATGAGATACGCAACTAGCGGTTCCCGCTCTCAGTCAACCCAACACTTAGAAGTGGTCTCGTGACTAAACACTGCAAGAGGTACGCTCCGTGTTGCATGTTGCAACGTTTGTTCTTTGTTCTGTTGGCGAAAGTACTTTAGATGATGTCTGCAGTATGGCCCATTGGTACAGTTCGATGTATTGACCGTCAATGAAATTTGCCTCCCGGGGAAAGGGACGCTTGACCGAGAGGATGGATGACCGTTTTGGTGATTAGGCCACAGGAGATTACACCGCCCAGGTATATGTATCCCTTTGTCCCCTAGGTAAGCCGGGAGGTCCTCCATGTGGCATAGGTGTCGAAGAAGATCCCAGTCACGTCACTGTCAAGCAGTCGACACTAAATGTCATTGCCATCTGTGCCCCCTCCCCAACAGATGTCAAGTGATGGCGACGAAGACGCATTTTGTGACTGTTAGCGCTTTGTCGCGTCACAGTTGTCACAGGCGACCTCAATGCAAAGGTGGGTGCTGAGTACAGGGCATGGTCAGACGTACTTAGCCTTCACGGCATTGACAGCTGCAGGCGTATGTGAAGCATTTGCGTCACAAACAGTATAATCATCGGTAGGACCCTTTTTCCTCATAGGCGTATGCACCAAAGCATCTGGACATTCCCCAATGCAAGCTGAAATACTGAGCTCAACCACATCCTCATCAGCCGGAAATTGCGCCGCTCGTTACTCGAGACTCACGTCGCACGAGGTGCCTTGACTGGGTCTGATCATCACATGGCCGTAGTGGAATTTTGTCTACAGCTAGAAGTGTCCCGTCGACGCCATCTGGTTGAAACACATCAGTTACTCAATTTCGACGGTTAAGTATGACTTAGCGGAGGGTAGGCTTGCCAAATGAAAGCAAAGTGTGTTTTTAATGCTACCTTTAGTGCCTTGTCAGGAACTGGCAACGCCAACAAAAGACCAGAGAAGTCGTCATTTCCTCGCGAAAGACGTAGTTGGGGATAGGAAGAGAGTAGCCAAACTGCTCTGAGTTTCGGAGATGATCTTAATCCTTAGAATGCAAAGGCATCAGGCAAGTGCTGAGTACTCGCAACACGGTACTGCGCCGTCGAAGGCAGCCAATCGCTTTCCCATTCAGGCAGTCTAACACGGCTATAGTCGGGACAAGGAACTTTGGCTGAAGTAGGAAATTCGGAAGATCGATAAGACAGCCAGAAAAGGTGATTGGCGAACAGTCTTCAAAGGAAACGCGACAGTTGTCCGGTTAGCAGGATCTTTTGATGTGTCCTAATCCAAGACGCTCCAATCCAGTAATGCAAATCTAGTTCACCACTCTGTAAACAGCCAGTCAGTCTACTCTGCCTTGAATGATGTTTTCCTCTATTAGCTTCGTAAGGTCAGGATACTTTTGATCCTCTGCTGAAATGGAATTTTCGAGACTTATCTTAAGCGAGAGTAGAGTGGAACGCACACCGATAAGATCGTCGTACGATTGAACAGTTTGATACTAAATAGTGCTACCGCAGCTATATTCAGGGCCTAGGAAGCGGCCCTGATATAATTCTGATTGAAACCTGAAAGTGTGATATGTTCTCCAATGTCTACGAAAAGAAAAAGACCGTCTACGAGGAAATGCACCATGACACAATAAGAAACAAGTGTTCTGACGACCACTGATGGCTATTTGAACTTCTAAGAAACATGAGGATGTGATATAATATCGAGGAAGCGTCCGTGTAATTAATCCCTTACCGTTGTGCGGCGCCGAAACGTAGTGGATCTTGCGCCGCCGGCCGCTGTTCCTCACCAACCGACGTACCTATGTCGCTGACCGGCGGCTCATATGCATCACTGTCATTTGTATCACTCTCCTCGCTGGTTTCCTCTCCCTCCATAGATATGCTGGACAAAAACTGCTGCAGATCCAGGTTGTCGGGCACGCAGTTTACGCCGGCGTCTCTGGGTACGCACCATTCGCTTCTGCACACTGGGCATGTGATGTTGTTGACACGTACCCCACGCTCGTTCATACCGCTGTGGAACAGCGATCGTACGCATGCCACACACAGACTGTGGCCGCATTGCAATACCTTAATACGTCCCTTGAAACAAATCAGACATACCGGGCATTTCACGTCAAGCTTCATCTTTCAATCACGTGACTCAGCCGGAGCAGCGTTTGAAATTGACCGCACGTCAAGGTGTTGTCCGTTAAACTAACTGTGCCTGCTTTTGATTTAATGCCGACCGCTTGTGGCAGTTTAAATATTTCTAACTTTAAATCGGAATGGAATTTTACAACCTACCACTGTCGGAAGTTTAAGCTGAGCGCGTGGGTGGTTTGCCGAATGAAGTTTAAAATATTTCGCGCCTTTTTAACTCACCAGTGAGGTTCAATATTATTACCCCAGTTTCTTTTGTTATAACGAATAAAAATGAAAATAATCGTTTTCCTTTGTTAGACATTGACGACATAAGGCAGAATTAATGGTGAAGCTTTTTCACCGTTATCCAGCTTTAAATAAATAAATAAAACAAGAAAAAATATTTTCTCAATTTATCTGCACCACGTATCATTTTTCTGGTGCGTGTGTCATCTGTTCAGAATATATACATATATAGTCGGAAGATTTCAAATGCAGTAATTATGGTACTACTGCGGGCTTGGCTTCAGTCTTCCTTGCGAGCTGGTGGTCGGTGGTCAAAGAGTCAAAGCCTTGTGATAGCTACCGGCTACTTGGTACTCTACAGTTTAATCGTTCAAGGCCAAATTTCCACAGTTAACCAGATGCAGTACACAGGACTTCGCCGTGACGTGCAGTTTTTTTACCTCGGACGTTGCGCGATCTCCGTAAATGAACACTGAGGTTGAATTTGTGCTTAACATTGTCACGTAGATCTTCACAAATATAGCCTTCTCACAAATAAGCTTCGACAGTTTCGCCGCTGGCAGACGCGTTTGGATATCAGGTATAAAAATTATTTTAGAATTATAGTCTAATTTACGGAGACTTGCCACGGTGAACTAGCCCGACTCATTGTAACTAAAGCAGAGCTCAGTCTGAAAATTTAGCTGTCGGTGTTCAAGTCGATCTTTATCCCCATGCTTACCTACGGTCATGAACCGTGGACTGTCACTGAAAAACTTCGAACCCGGGTACAAGCTCGGCTTTCTTAGACGAGTCGCTGGCCTTACGCGTCTCGACATGGTCCGGAATAGTGACATCCGGAAGAGCCATAGTATACAACCTTTGCTTCTCCAGATTGAGAAGTCACAGCTGCGATGGCTTGGGCATGTGTCGCGAATGCCTG